GATGAAACTGATGATGAACTCTTTAATTGAGATAACAGATTTTACTAATGCCTCCCCGTGGGAAAGGTAAGTATCAGCTCCTTTATATAATTTATCAAACATTCTCTAGTTTTGTCTCCACCATTGAAGACATATTGCAACAGTGGGGCCTCACTGCATCCACTTATTCAGTAAGACATTAAGAGTCTCTCAGTCACTGTATCTCTTCTTAAAGGCAGATTCTGGTTATTGGCCACAGCATAGGAAGTCAGAGAAACTCTCTTATGTTGGACATAATTTCATTGTTAGCCTCCACGTGTCTGGGGAGAAGAAACGACTGATACCCAAACAATCAGGTGATTGGTGGTAGTGGGTGTGGTTTGCTATAGATCAGGATTGGCCTGATGCTATGGTACATATGATGGATTCATCAAGTGATTTCCCTCCAAGAGCTCATCATCATATCTCTAGATGGTAATAATTATTGTATAGTCGTATACATGTACATGTACCAGTACTTGTAATTATTATTTCTAATAATTTGAGGATGGTGAAATTTGGTTTAAAACTTTTATATTATTTTCTAAGAATAATTTTTGACTATGGACATCCACTGATTGTTGTACATATTTTTATAATTTTGTGTCTATTTACATGTATATTTAACAAAATTTAAAATTCCAATCAAAATTGGATTTTTATAAGTTTTTAAACTTGCTCAAATATTGGGCCAAAGTCCTTATACTATAGTACAGGGTCGCTGGCCAACTTTTGCCAAAAATGACTAAGAGAGAGTTCTCTTTTTATAATTTTTCCTGATGCATATACATGTACATGTTCTTATGCTGTGTAGAAAATTTGAGCTGATTTTGATCAAATTTTGATTTAAAGCTGCTCCAAATGCCATGTACTGTATATGTCAGCTCATGAAGCTCATGCTGTTTAGCTCACTTAGCATGCTTTGTGGGAAACCCTGGCCTATATTGTACAATATTTGCATGTAGTTCATAATTATCATTCAAAATACAATCAATCATTAGGTATGGTGTTGATCAGTTTATATTGATATCTCCTGATGAGAAGAGTCATGCAATATCAAGTGAAGCTCAGTCCAAACTATTACTCAGTTCAATATCTCTGGCTGTAGCTAACACTGGATGGTCTGTTATAATAATTAATCTTATCATTTTAATTTTAATTTCTCTCCATTTTATGTCTTCTCTTCAATACTTGTCTCTTCTCTTCTCATTCTCTTGTCCTCTATTCCTTCCTTCAGTACATTGCCTATATTCATTCAGATACAGAAGAATTAGCGTCACATGTTTAGCGGACAGTGTGAGGGGTGTGGTCTCCGTACATGTTTTGAAATGATACATTTGAGACATATTCCACCTCACTTTAGTCACCTCTCAGGACTACTGAACTTATTCCGATCAAAACTGGTACATTTCTATCTCCCTTCTATTAACTATTATTTGTAATTTACAATAAATATGTAGAATATGTAATGGTTTTATTAATAGAATGGTGTGAATGTTAATCCTCCTGATATTGATATTGCTGCTAGACTAACATATTGTCTAAGACACTGGAATGTGGAGGATTGGCCAGTGGGTCCAATCTGTTAGTACCTCATTCATTATAATCATTAATCAATTTAACTATTAATTCCAGCGTCTGGTGATGGGAGTGATTGTTTCCTTAGTCTGCCAGTAGGAGCAAGTTCTGATCCTATACAGTAAATATTAATAATTGATATCCTTCTCTACATCTCTCTCTCTCTCTCTCTCTCTCTCTCTCTCTCTCTCTCTCTCTCTCTCTCCAACCAAGGGAGATTCATCTTTGTGCTGTTGGCCTCTACTACAACTGAATTAACAGTCGCTGACAATGAAACTAATTCGTAAGTTGATGTGTAGTGTTGTTTACTTAATGCAATGCTGTTATTTTATATTAAAGAGGGTTTGATCCATTCAATGCTTCTAAATGGAGCATCAGGACACAGTTACTTGATAATCCAGGATTATTGCTGAGTAAGGATTGACATACTGATTTTAATTATATGATAAAAATATCCTTTAGATGAGAGGTTGTGCTCATTTTTAAAGAATTGCTACAGATCAGATACATTCACTAACTTATTAGGTAACAAATTACTTTAAGAAGACATATACAATCCTGGTAGGTATAGACCAGTTGGTGCTAAGTATATCTATAGAATTTTAAGTATATTCATCGTGATATGTAGCTCCAACTTTGAACAAATTCTCTCAAGCATTTTTGAGGGTTAATTGGGCTAG